AGCCTCCCAAGTAGCTGGGACCACAGGCGCCCGCCATAACGCCTGGCCACTTTTTGGTTGCAGCCGTCATCGTTGTTTGGCGGGTCCGGGCTGGGGATTCGAACCCGCCACCTTAGGTGTATGTGGCTGCCGCCTTAGCCGGCTGAGCTATAGGCGCCGAGCCACGCCTGGCTATTTTTTAGTTGCAGTTGGGCGGGGCCTGGTTTGAACCCACCACCCTCGGTAGACGGGGCTTGCTGGCATCCTACTCACTGAGCCGCAGGCACCGCCCTCATTACCTGCTTTCAACCGATCTTGTCTAGGTGTGCTCTGTAGCTCTGTGGTACCCAGCCTAGCCCCTTTTAAAGCTTTTTGTTTCACTCCCAGTCAAGGAAACAAGCACATGAGTGGATAGTTTGGCTGCCCCTGGCCAGGCAGAGGCCAGTGACTGGGTGCCTACCTGTCACCTCTTGCCTGGAGCGTTGGGCTGCCAAATTTGTCCCATGACTGTAAACACAGGGGTGGAGCCTGGATTGGGCACTGTCGGGCGGGCTTGACTAAAGTGACCAGTTAGAGTCCTCAGCCTCTTGGGTGACTGGCTGGAAGCTGGCCGTCCTGTGACCTTGGGGATTGATCAGGACAAGGCCCAGAGGGCCTAGGGCGCTATTGCCCTTCCCCACCACATCTTTTCCCTTAATCGCTCCTCCCTCACCCCTTGTCGCCTCTACCCCGCCCCTACCGTCCTAAACTGCTCCTGCACCGGAACTGTTTGGCTTTTTCCTGTCCCAGCTGTGGGGCGGAGGTAGGGGGGTTACAGCCCTAGGCCTTTGGGGAGACATGGAGCCCAGGAGGGCGGTGACTGGGGCATACAGCTGGGAGCCTCGAGTGGCCGCGGGGTCCGGGACGTCTGCGGAGCTCGTGTACCACCTAGCGGGGGCCCTGGGCACTGAGCTGCAAGAGCTAGCCCGCCGTTTCGGGGCGGAGGCGGCGGCCGGGTTGGTGCCACTCGTGGTTCGGACCCTAGAGCTCCTGGAAAAGGCTGCGGTGGGCCCCGCCTCGGACTCGGTGAGTCGCTGCCCCCTCCTCTCGCCACCCGCGGAGTCTGCAGAGCCGAATCTTAAAACCGTCCCCCCCCGCCCAACTGCAGGTGTCGGCGCAGCAGGCCGAACTGGAGCTGCGGCGGCTGCGCGAGGAGAACGAGAACCTCCGCAGGGAGTTGCACGCTGGGCCACAGGGTGAGTGCAGGCCCCGGCCAGGGCGAGGGCGGCTGGGAGCCAGCTCGGGGCCTCCCTTCCGCAGGCCGCCGCTTAGAACGCCCCTTTCTTAGAGGAGCGCGCACTGCTGCGGCAGCTCAAGGAGGTGACCGACCGACAGCGAGATGAACTCCGAGCGCACAACCGGGACCTGCTGCAGCGAAGCCAAGAGACTGAGGCGGTGAGGGCGGGGAGGCGGGCTCGGGACGTGGCTGCGTTGGGCACTTGACGCCCCGCCCACACGGCCCCACCTTTTGCTCCGCCCCCAGTTGCAGGAGCAGCTGCAGCGCCTCCTGCTGGTGAATGCAGAATTGCGGCGCAAACTGGCTGCAGTGCAGACTCAGTTGTGTGCTGCGAAGGACCGCGAGAGGGAGCGTGAGCAGATCCAAGAAGGTGCTCTCGACCCGACTGGAGAGCGAGCAGGAGGCCAAGGCGGGCCCCCCCGGTGCGAGCAGAGACAGGAGCCCAGACAGGCGGTAGTCGGCACAGCGGTCCCGGGGACCCCTGAGGACCCGGTGAGTGCCGGACGAGGGCAGAGACCCATCCCAGTACTCTGGGACTTTGGGGGCACTCGGGCAAGGTTTGCCACGCTGCATAGGGGGCCCGCGAGGAAGCTGGAAGTGGCTCACTAGTTCGTGTCCCCCAACCGGCCTGGGTCCCCGTTCTTAGCTGGAGCATTACTCTGTCATCTATTATAGTACCTGTGTCCCCCAAGTCTCCCTGTCGGTCACTTCCTCTAGGGGTCCCCTGGGTGATGACTCTGGGGCAGGGACCCTATGACCAGGCTTATCCTGTAGCAGGTGGCCACGCTGCAGCCAGGGCGCCCTCTGGAGGCAGGGCAGTGCGGCTTCAGTTGGGAGGAGCTTGAGCAGATCCTTCGGGAGCGGAATGAGCTCAAAGCCAACGTGTTCCTGCTCAAGGAGGAGTTGGCCTACTTCCAGCGGTGAGGGCGGAGGGACCGAGGGAGCTCCCCTCCTATCTGTTCCTGGGCCTCAGATCAACCATCTCATTTTTTGGTTCATTGACATATCCACGGTGATGTGTGCCAGGGCCTGCACTGGACCCTGGAAGGACATGAATTACACAGCCCCTGCCCTCCTGGAACTTCATCCAAGCAGGAGAGAGGGCCACAGCAGCAGCAGCAGGGATTTCCTGGGAGGGGTGTCAGAGGCCCCTGATAACTGCTGCAGCTATAGTCTCACCCTTCCAATAACACACACTGAGGGCGGAGGGACTGAGGGAGCTCCCCTCCGTTCCTGGGCCTCAGATCACCCCACCTCATTCTTAGACCTCCTGTCTAAGCTAAGTTAGTCTAAGGGTGTCAGCAAGACAGAGCATTTCAGATGTTTCAAGGGGGAACAAGTACCTGGGGTGATACCTACTGTTGGCATCTCCACTGCTTTCTTCCTGCCCCTCTTCTCACCCACTGCTGTAGGGAGCTGCTCACAGACCACCGGGTCCCTGGGCTTTTGCTGGAAGCCATGAAGCTGGCTGTAAGGAAGCAACGAAAAAAGATAAAAGCCAAGATGTTAGGGACGCCAGAGGAAGCAGAGAGCAGGTATATGTCCCTGCGGGCATGCCCACTTGAGTGAACCCTTCCTCATTCTGCTGAGCCTGATGACCCAGCCTCGTCACCCCCATGAGGCCTGTGTCCACCTTGCCACCCTTCCCTTAGGATTCCACTGCTCCCCCTGCCCTGTCTGCTGTACATCTGCTGAAGAAATCTGCAAATGCTCCTTCTCCACATTCTTTATTCTTATCCTGCCTTGTCTGGGTCTGTGTGTTATTGGAAGGGTGAGACTATAGCTGCAGCAGTATCAGGGGCCTCTTGGCTGTCAAGTTATAAAATAAAAGCCCAAGATGTCTTACGTCTGGCCAGGTGTGGTGGCTCTGGGAGTAGGAGGCATGTGGATTGCCTCAGCTCATGGGTTTGAGACCAGCTTGAGCCGGAGCAAGACCTCATCTTTAAAAATAGCCAGGTGTTGTGTCGGGTGCCTGCAGTCCCAGCTACTCAGGAGGCTGAGTTAAGAGAATCGCTTGAGCCCAAGAGTTTGAGGTTGCTATGAGCTATGACACCTCAGAACTCTACTGAGGGCAACAAAGTGAAACTCTGTCTCAAAAAAAAAAAGTCCCATATCTCTCCAGTGTCTCCTTCTCTTCCAGCCTTATGGGGCCTGCAGCCACTCTGTCCTCCCCCTGCTGCTTCTGGGGGTCTGGCAGAAGGCCTAACACAATCTGGACTCCTGTCGTCCCTCAAGGCCTTGATAAATGCCCTCAAATCTCTTTCTTGTGTCTCAGTGACGATGAGGACGGCTCATGGCTCCTGCTCTCCAGTGATAAAGGAGACCACCCCCCAGCCCCTGAGTCCAGAATACAGAGTTTGTATGTTAAGGGAAGGGAAAGGGCAAGACTTGGGGGTGGAGAAAGGACCCTACCTGGTTCTTCCTAGTACCCCCTTTCTCTCCACTACCTGTTACCCTGCTGCCTTGGGCACTAAGCTCACCCTCCCCTCCTGCTTCTCTGGCCCTGGCCCTTGTCTTCCTGGTTTCCGCATATTACCCTTCCTTCCCTCTCTGTCCCCTGCCCTCAGCCCATGCCCCTGACCTCTCTGGCTTTCCAGCTCAGAGTGTATTTTGGCTCTCTCCCAGCTTTGGCCCGTGGTATCAGGGAGAAAAAGAGGCCCCCAAGGCTGAGACCAGCAGCGGCACTCCCAACAAGCTAGGGGGAAAAGAGGAGGCCTCCTTGCAACCTCACTTGGATCCTGTGCGCAGCCCTACCACCCCCAACCCTAACTGTGCCTGCTCTGCTCCCAGTAAACATCTTTGTCTGGGGGCCTTAGGTGCCCCAGAGGCTTGACTTTGAGGTCTGGGTGTGGGTGGATATGTGATCTCAGATGGGGACAGGCCTCCCTCCATCACAGCTCTCTCCAAGACTCTTCTTAATCTTGGCCTGTACCAGGGCGTGATGGGGAGTGCAGCCTTCTTCCCCCTCCCTGTACCAGGCCTCTGGGGCCAGATATAAAAGTGTGTGCTCTCTGCTTGATGCCTGTAGCTCAAGTAGCTAGGGTGTCTGCCACATACATTGGAGCTGGCGGGTTCGAATCCAGCCCAGGCCTGCCAAACAACAATGACAACTACAACCAAAATATAGCCAGGCATTGTGACAGGTGCCTGTAGTCCCAGCTACTTGAGAGGCAGAGGCAAGAGAATTGCTTAAGCCCAAGATTTGGAGGTTGCCGTGAGCTGTGATGCCATAGCACTCTACCCAGGGTGACAGCTTGAGACTCTGTCCAAAATAAATAAATAAAATAAATAAATAAAAGTCTATGCTCTCTGAGTTCCAGCTTCCCATCCTAGGGGTTTGTGCAGATGGCCTGAGTTAATTTAATAAAGCAACTGCCCATAATGCCAGAAATGGTTCCGTGTCTGTTTTTCAGGGGTCTGCCCCCAGCCCCTAGGTCTGCTGGGAGCAAAGGAAGGTTAAGGGTTCCCCACAGGGTCCTCCTTTGGTCAGTCACTGGGTGGGAGGCTTTCCCTACCTCCAGTGGCACTTTGGGAGTGTGGCCTGATGGAAGGCCTGGCTCCTACCCTCACCCCACCCCTTTGCCTGTCTCCAATGCCTTGGGACCTGCAGTGTTCTCTGATCCTCTCCAGAATAAGACCAGCCATTTAAGCCCCTACTCAGCCCTTCATGTACCTTCCTTTCCCTTTTTATTTTTTTTTTTGCAGGGGAGGGGGAAGAAAATCACTTTGTCCTAATTACCTCACAAATATCACAGCAGCTGGTTTAAAGAGGCCACACCAACATTTATTTCCAATCCTTTACCATCTCAATGAACTTTTACATACTAGGAATACCCTCTTCCACTACAATTCTGAAGAAAGGAAGCTTTTAATAAAGGAGAAGTTTAACTGATGATTTTACCCTTTGAACTTTTTTTTTTTTTTTTTTTTTTTGAGAGAGACAGAGCCTCAACCTGTCCCCCTGGGTAGAGTGCTATGGCTTCACTGCTCACAGCAACCTCCAACTCCTGGGCTCAAGTGAGTCTCCTGCCTCCGCCTCCTAAGTAGC